CGCACCGGCACCCGCGGGCAGCAGGTCTACCCCGCCCGCCGCCATCGCCTCCCCGGTCGCCTCCCGGCGCAGCAGAGCCACCTCCCGGGAAGGCGGCAACCGCCACCCCCCGGCCTTCCACGGGCAGCAGGTCTGGCCCCGAGCCGCCTCCCGGGACGGATCAGCTCCTGGGCCACAGTTCGGCCCCTGGATCACCTGCCGGGGACGGGCAAGGTCTCCTTTGTGGTCCTGGCCAGTGGGATCATCCACTGGATCTCCTGTGGGGAGCAGTGGGTTCCCCTTGCATCACTCGGGGGCAATGCTTTGCACCCTCCAGCCAACTCAAGGCGCTGGATCCCACCTCCTATCTCGACCCCCTGTGGTGATGGATTTTGCCCCTGCATTGCTTCCCAGGGCAGTTACCCCCTTCCATCCCAGGTTACCCCCCAGATCACGTCCCCATGGCAGCCAAGCACCAGCGCTGCCCGCAGGCCTGCGACCCCCATGTGGGCCCAGCCCCACGGCAGCCCCACGAGGCAGCCCCACCACCATCAGCACCCAGGGCCCAGCCAAAACCAGCCCGCTTTGCACCGCTGAGTTAATATTTGCTGAGCACTCAGCAATGCACGGTATCAGTGCTGCCCGCAATTAGTTTATGGAGTACCAGGTTAGCTGTGCTAACTCATTGGCCGTTGTTCCCAGTGTTATTGAACATGCACTGTAAAACTGCCGCTTCAACCAGTCACTCCTTTTTCTATTTGTGTATTAGTTATCTTTGCATAATTAATTGGTATTTGAACTATGCAACTCGCAAAGTAAATCCACATTTCTTCATGGCTCTGCAGTTACTTTTTAGATGGCCGCTTTGCACTCGGGTCCTTTTCTCTTGCTTGCACATGTTCTTTTTTTGCCATGCGGTCCATTGCTCAGTGTGCTTGCAGGAGCAGCGCATGTATGAACACGACATGCTGCAGATCCCCACCAGGTATTTGAGGCAAGAAATGAAGATAACAGGAGAATCAAGGATATTTCAAGCTCCTCCTCTGAATAAAGCCACTCCTGACTGAGAGGTTCTGCTGCTATCAGCTGCTCCACAGGAATTGCCCCCAACATCCAGAGTCACTGAAATACATCTCCGAATTGCCATGTACTGCCACATGCAAGCTGGCTTTTTGGACAGGAGTCATAATTTAGACAGGATGATCCCTGTACAGTGATTATGCTGCATATTGCGTATGCTGCTGCCTATGCAATTGTGAACAAAATTGGTGTGCACAGAGTCAAACCCTTCCCAATACGAGCTGGCACCGCTTAGTTCATAATGCAGCCTTCTGGCTGAGTCTGAAGCTGTGTGGCTGATGACTGATAACTCAGTGTGGATCTAAGAGAGGCTGTTTTCTATGGCACGCATCTTCCTTTACCCCCTCGTGCACAGTGCAGGACACCGAATGTTATGCAACCCAACCTGATTTGCAGGGACATGACGGGAGTTGGCTCAGGTGTGAACGACTGCCTGGGAGCACGGGATTCAAACACACCCGGTGCGCTGGCATCCTCCCCGCTGAGCACCTGCCTGGCAGGACGGGCTCAGCACCCTCTGCAAGAGGCCGGATCAGAAACTCCACAGCTGAGGATGGACATGTTCAAAGGAAAGCCTCAAGAAAAGTGTGAAGCGGATCCAGGGTGCATCACTTGGTAACACTGCTCCCACGTATGGCACGTACAGTCACACACAGGATTACAGCCTAACTTACCATGGTGATGCCCTGGAAGAGGTGGGCAGGTTAGGATGTTTCAGTTAGTTTGATGAGAGGACCCTGGGTAGAATAAGGACAGAGGACTTTTTTTTCCATTTAGCAAATGGAAAATGTGACTCAATATACAGAAATTATCCATCCTGACTTTTATTTCGCTTCTGCTGACACACAATCTTCTGCCAAATATATGAATCGTGTGATAAATAGCACTCGTATTTCGGTGTATAATAAATCTGCAGGGATACCAGCACAGAAACTGGCAGGAGGTTGTCGCTCAGTGGCTCAGGGAAATCAGAACTGGCTTTTGTTGCTGAAATAGCAGACTACAAAGCAATGAATGAAGAGCAGATGAAGCAATTTGCTAAAGATCAATACTGCTATATTTGCAGAAATTCAATCAATCAACAAATCAATAAATGAAGATGAATATTGCTCACTAAGCAAGACTTTTTGTCCTAAGCTAAACAAGCTTCTCTTGTTCTCATGCCACATGCAAGCAGAGAATTTACTGCAACAATAACACGTCTAGATATAATAACAAATATGCCTGTAAGTAATCAGAGGCAAGTTTTAATTCTGAAACCTGTCCCATGGAGGTGCAGGGAAGAGCAATGCTCTTAAAATATATAGCCAGGATTTATGCAATGGGCATGAGCCAAGCTGTTCTGAACACCTTGAGAGCATTTTGTGGGTGTTCAGCATTTTCACAAAGAGGCAAAACCAGAGACCAAACCTGCATCCCCATCACGGTGCACGACTTTCTGTAGTTCTGAGGATTTGGGCTGTGAGGCTCTGTGGTAGCCACAGTCTCCTACCCCTGGCTACACGACAGGTTTGGGCACGACAGTAGCACGGGGACAGGAGCCAGGCGGATGTGAAAGCTGCAGCTCCGTGGAGGCTGCTGCAGGCCAGGGAGCGAACCCGGAGGGGAGCACAGCGGCCTGTGCCAGGACGCAGCTTTCCAGCAGCTCCAGTCCAGCTCTGGAAGCAATAAATAACCCCAGTGCTCTTTGGCAACTCTTGTGAAATGTGCACACTGCCCTGCCAGAGCCCGCTGACAAAATGTCCACGGCGCGTTTGGCAATCTCACCAGCACGGCCGCTAAACTGGTCACCATGCAGCACAGAGCACGGTAACAAGGCACAAAGGCTCCAAATGTGATCGCAGATATTTGGCTGCCGTGTAATTAATTCAGGAGCAAGTTTCTGACTGCTTGTTCAGGCAATATTTCCATGCCCCTGCAAAGAACTGAGTAAGCAAGCAGCAGGCACAAGCAGAGTTTGCTCACAGTGTTTGGATAATTCCTCGGATTAGCAAGGAACTCTAGCATTTGTACTGGGGGGAAAAAGCCAATCTGCCAGCTGATGGAATAACCCATGGAAGATACCCATCCTGGTCAGGATGATGGGGAGCGACCTCACTGCAGCCTCGCGCACTCCCGGTGCATCCCAGCACCGGCAGCTCTGTGCCAGGAGATGGGCAGAGTGTAGAGGCACATGCTGGCTATAGGTAAAACCTATTCCAGACTCATAATTTGTAAACAGTTTTGTAAATTTAGTGAAGCGTACCCTTTATTGTGTCAGAAAAATACAGTTTGTCTAAGGATTTTCAGTTCAACTACGTGCGATTCACAATAGAAAAGGGGCTTATTGAACAGAATGCGAAAATACTCACTGCACCAGGAAGGCAGGTAAGGACAAGACTTTAGAAAGGCTGACAGGTTTTCCCCTTTACATCCATCACAGATATTTTCTAGTTTGGAGAACGCACATTTTTCAGTTGCATAGAAATAGGACAGGCATTTTGGGGTCTGTAAGTAGTACAGGATATTGCTGCCACATTTGTTTGAAACAGCTTTCAAAACAATTCAGAAATTAAAAAAATATATAGTCCACGATGACTACAGATGTGAAAGTGATAGGATAAACAACATTAATAAACTTCCACAAAACTAGAAGCAGAATTAAATCTGAGTACAGCATGCAGGAATTTCTTGTCCGGATCTGATTTTGTATAACCTCTAAAGACTTTTTATTACTAAAAAAATTAGGCTGCTTAATTTTCCTTTTTATTTTTCTCCCCATAGCTATCTGTGGTGGCTCCGAGAAGTTCAAAAGCAGGGTGTGACTTTCAGATAAACAAAGTGAGATCCTGGGAATGCTGCCACTGACTTCTATAGGAATGGCCCCTATCATTATCTGAGGCTTTATCTTACTTAAGCAAATATTTAAGCAACTTTTTTTTTCCAAGGTAAAAGAATCTGCATGCTAAATATTGCCTTTAATGTCAGGCCAGACCACTCAGGGCACCTTGATGGTGACAGAACTGTAGCTTAAATTAACTTCCTATTCTCATTGCTAGCAAGAGCCACAAGCTCAATTACATGTTCATGTCCTTTAAAACTGAGTTTGTTTCCCATTCAAACACCCAGATCTGGAGTTATCTTGGGGGAAAGCTCACAGAAACACAAAAAAATCTCTCAAGAACAGGCAAAATCTCCTTCATTAGGACAAAATGTTGTAAGACCAGGCACAGAAGCTCCATGGGCTGCATATGGGGTCAGTTGTGTCTCTGAGCCTTCTTTCCACTGAATAATGAAGTGGAAAGGAGAAGCACTAATAAACATGGAAAAAGCAATCCAAATAAGAGCCCTAAAATGAAACCCAGGACTGAGTGACACAGGACAAAAATTCATGAACAAATGTTACCCTGAATCATGAGTTAAAGAAAACAGGCATGGCACCTCCTTATCCAAAAATGGCTCATGGCCTTGGCCAAAGATGGAAAGGCTTTGGGCAGCCGGCTTGCTCAGAGCAGGCGACTCTGCGGGCTAAAGCATGCCAAGATTTAACACAACTGCAAAAAAATGAGATGGGAGAAAGGTGCCTGCGGCCCTTAGCTGCCTACCAAAGAGGTCAGAGGAGCCAGAGAGGTTGGAAACCTCCCCAAGGCCTGAAGGTTTTAGAAGCTTTCAGGAAAATCCGTGGTGATTCTTGTGGCCACCAGCCAAAGGTACCACAGAGGGCTGCCCATTCCAGCTAAGCGTCACTACGAATCCAAGAGCTTGTCCTTAACTCGGAAACTGCAGCGTACAACTCTCTGTTCCCTGGGAGCGGAAAGAAAAGTGCGTCAGATAGCCCTGTGCGCTGGAAACGAGCACTTTCACTCTGCTGGCAAGATGTGCGCACGAGTTCCTGGTGCCAGGGAAGCAAACATCATTTAAGCACTCCTGGCACAGAGGGAACGATCATTACGGCTGTGCTGGATGTGCCCTCTCCTACCCCGGAGAACAGGGTTAAACCCCGGCTGCCAGCCGTGGCGGGGCCACGCCAGGGACGATGCTCACGTGCCGAGCAAAGGGCACAGGCTGCTTCTTCCCATCAAAGAATCTTGTGATTTCGTTAAATTACGTTTTCCACCTTTCATTTCAAAGGGAGTTGGATGATAAAAGAGACAGGCAATAACTGGGTGTTGCAAGCAAATAAAAGCGAAGATAAAGGCATTCCCCACAGGTGACTGCA